GATGGGAATGGGGATGGAGTGCACCTAAATTTTAATAGAAAAATCTTTGCAACCGATTTTCGAAATGAAAAGTTAAAAAAATGGTGTGAGTGTAATTTTCACCTAAAACTATTGTCAATCACTTTGGAAGGGGTTTGTGGATTTTATTTATTTATTTATTTATTTATTTTGTTTTAAATAAGGGTGAAATTGCAATTATAATTGTCTGTTTGATCCCGATTATTCAAGAAAAAGGAATTTTTTTGATTCAATTTGTTGGATCCACTAAAGCATATATTAAATTTGTTAAACCGAGAAATAATGACAATGTTGAATTCTATCTCTTCATCCCTTCAACAAGTTGTTGTCTGATCTCCCAAATTATCCCCGATATTAAAAAACTCTCTGCTGATGCCCTTTGTATGGCAATGGGAAAAGCACTCAGGTGTAGAATGGTAAATCAATCTCCTAAGTCCATGAAAAAATTGGACAGCATGGACTGGAGTTCTTGGAGCATTTTAGGGGAATTTATTGGAATTGCCCTTTTTCTGCATAATATTTAATTAGAATTTTTCAAATTCATAATATCGCAATTTGGTAAAAATCCAATTCTAATCCAGACCAATTAGATGCTAAAATTTTAGCGCTTTTCTAAGGATACATTGTCCACTAAGGACATAAGTCTACAGAAATGAGACTTTGAGGATATAAATACTCTGTCTTAAAGAAAGGGGACCAAGGTGCAACATGTGTCAAAGTTTGGGGACCCACACGGCTATTTTCCCTCAAATATACAAAATATCCAAAAGAGAAATATCGACCAAACATGGTGCCCACCACCACGAGATAAGGAAAAAAATAATAACAAAGAATAAAACAAGTCAGAAAAGTAACTAAGTGGCTAGTCCTTTTGTTCATGGCCATTTAACCTAATAACAGATTTTTTCATAACAAAACATGGCCATTCCCATATGCTCATTTGCTAAGCATACACCATCAATCCCAACTATTTCAATCTCCTTTTATCCTTGTACAAATTCACATCTCAAAGCAATCAATTATGGCTGCCTTCCAACCTAAAGCCATTCTTCTTCGATTTACAGCCTTAATTTGGTCACAGACGAAGCGTTAACTATGACTACTAAGGGTGTGGATGCTTCTAGAGTGGAACTGGAGTTTGCGCAGGAAATGGAAAAGGTTTTTGATAAAAAAAGGAGCGAAAATGAGGTTGAGAGACATTGGTGCAAAGGAGTTGTAGAGAGAAGGAAGAGAAGAAGAAAAAGAAGAAGGGACTTAGAATGTTTGGAGCATGAGAAAAATGAAAAACATGTATTTTTCAAGGCTGCCAAGAAGCAGTCATACTTGACACCTAAAGAAGAGGCAAAGTTTTCTTGGTACCTTAAGGTAGTTATACCTCTAATTCTAAATTGATTGATATAAGTGGGTTCAGAGATTAATTGTGTATATATGTATATATAATGCAGTTATTCAATGTAGATTAGCTGCTGTTCTTTTTGATATACTTTTCCATTCACCAAATTTTAAATTCCATCTGTTCTACCTTAGGAGTTTAATTGCCAAACTATTCAGATAGATCATGGGTTTTCAGGCTTCCGTATTGCAATTCTAGCAAATGCGACTAAAACTTATTCCCAATAAATTTAAGGTTTACTTCATAAATCAAATTTTCTGCCTCTGTTTGGTTCTTTCCTCACATTGTTTTACAAAAAAAATAGGAAAAAAGGTTGAACCTGTGAGAAAGAAAATAGCAGACATGGGAGAAGAAGAATTAACCTCAAGTCAATGGGCTAAGGCTTCAGGAATCACTCAGCAAAGGCTTGTATATATTTTATGTTAAGAGAGAGAATCACAGGATCGAATTTGCAGCTGTTATCAGAGACTTGTTATTGCAGTCGCTAGATCTCATCAAGGAATAGGGTTGAGCTTCAAAGATTTAATTCAGGTCCCGTACATAATTTCAAACAATTAACTGTGATGTTACAATTTTTATTGAGTATTAAAATGATTCTACAATCTTGCAGAAAGGAAGAATTGGGCTAATTCGAGGGGCGATAAGATTTAACACGAAGAGAGGTTGTAAGTTATCCACATACGGTTACTAGTGGATTAGGCAAGCTATTAGCAGAGCCATAGCCAGCAAATCAACGATATTCCAATTGACGGTAAGGCATACATCATTAAGCAGAGTCTTACTCTGTTTTCATGAGTTGATTCCAAATATCAATTGATTAATCTATTGTTCTATATATGAACAACTTTGAGTTTTAATGGTTCTTTTGCCATTTCGATTGAATAAGTCCTAAAATGAGGGATAAATGTACAATATATTTAGGCTCGACATATTCCAACATTTCCAGCAAATGTGAACGTGACATTACTAGCTACCCATCCCCACCAAAAAAATAAACAAATTCATAAATTGAAAAGGATAATTCCCGGACGAGTTGTGGAAATCCCTAATTTAGTGACAAAAGAGAATATGAAATTTAACAGAAAGCTCACAATCAGTGAATGGGTGTTAAGGTTTTCATGTGCAGTGCAGTATTAGTGAATTGGTACCTAAGATTTGCGAGGCAAACAATGACTTAAGCCGAAGGCTGCAGAGTATCCTACATGTGATGAGGTGCAGCAGCCATTGATGTGGATGCTTCAATTATCATTTAGAGTGCATGTTTATTCCATCAGCTATGAGTATGCTACAAAAACTTTGTACAAGAGTTTGAAATGCTGAGTTTCGGCTATAAAAAATAAATAACCCTCCTCCCTCCTAAATGTGGTGTCAGCTACATGAATCATTTTTCATCAATTCGTCCATTTCATTGCTAAGAAACTACATTTTTAACTTTACCCTCACGTATTCTACATCAATTTAAATAAATTCTTGAAAAAGTAGTAGAAATTTGATTGAATTCTTTGTTTTACCATTTTCTGTAGGACATCATACCGGGGCGAAATGAAACGAAACTAGAGGCAATGGAGAAGAAAGAGATGTTGAAAAGAGAAATACAAAAGCTTCTTAACTAGTTGCCTGAGAGAGGAAAATGTCTTAAGACTGCACTATGGCCTTAATGGCTGCACTCCATGTTCCTTTGAAGAGATAGGAAATTTATTTAAACTTTCAAGGGAGAGGATTCGGCAGATTAATAGCACTGCATTGTCTAAATTACAAAGGACTAGTGGGATAAATGATCTCAAATATTTGATATAGCTTTTACTATATATAAAGAATACATGCTTACAGTACATAAATCATGGATTTGTATATCCATTTTCTACAAAATTATTGCAAATTGAAGACACTGTCTTCTGCTCTTTTGAATTTTTCTTAAGATTCTGTTGTGAGTATATAATCTAAATGCAAGTTTGAATTGGTTATCTATTTAAGCTATCCCAAATTGAACTTTCAACTCAAAAAACTCCATTTTGGATCAATTCAGTTGTGATCCTTCTTACATTCAAATCTAAACGAGCTTAATTGAAACTTTTAGTGTTAAAGAGGTACATAAATTAATTTCTTATATCATGAATTGCATGTCATACATGATACGGAGGTTCACTTGAACACTCTATATGATCACATAAAAATTCATTTTGGCATACTCTTCCTACTTTAAATTTTAGTTATTGTTGGATCAGAGCCTAAAATTAAGCCTTAATTTGGATTTGCATCAAGATCCCGAGACTAGAGGAAGAACTAAATATCAAACACCAGATTTAGTCTGAAACTAGTCTATATCCTCGTTGAGCTTCACCTTATGAACTCTTATAACTAAATTTTTCTGGTTTGAGATTACAGAGTACAAAGAGGCACAAAAATCTCAACTCAAGCACGATTTTTCCCAAGAACAGCACATAGATTACAATCTCCCACAAAAAGGCACTTTCCTACATGATCTCAATATCCAAGAAGATAGAGGATTTTCCTATTAACTTTTTATCTCAAAAGCTAAGCCTAGAAATTTAGAAGTATTGAACTAAAGTCCAAAATGCAGAGGCAACACTGCCAGCACATACATCAAAATTTTGCCTTCCATCTCCAGGGAAAGCTTGTAGATAGAAACACAACCAACATTGTGTAAGTATTATGCCCTAGGTCCTTTCAACTTTGGACATAAATACTTTTGATATATAATTAATGCAATTTAATGGCAGATCTATTATTTAATTAATTATCTATTAAATAAATAATAGAGTCCGTATATTCAAATCTTCATAATTTGTTAATCACAAGGAGTTGTAATTGTGAGATACAAATTACATCTGATTGAATCTTAAATCGTCCGTGGTCGTAAGTAATAATGAGATACGGATATCGTTATTACGGATAGACCATCACGTGTGGCATTTCTTACTTGTGAAGTGAGTAGCTGATCTCACAAGTTAAAGTGTGGTGACACTTAGATGAATACGTAGATGTTTTGTTATAGAACAAAACATTGAAGACCCGCCGAGAGATTCCACATGGATAGCTATCTGAGTGTCAGTGGTTAATCTCTAACATTCGGTACTGGAATTGGCCATTTGACTTGAGGTCGTCATGGTACCTTATATGATGACAATCATACTTTGGCGGTGTTGGATGTTGCTCTGCAAAGGGCCGCTAATATGACATCATTCAAGTACGTCAAGAATCGTATGAAAGTTGTGATTGATCAATAAAGGATTCATCACTTTTAGATAGTATGAGATTATGATCTGTGTTTCATTTAATTAAGTCGATAATGAAATCTTTGGCCAAGGTGTATTCATAAGTCGAAAATGAGTTTTCGACTTATATTAACTTAATAGTGGAGCGAAAGATATGATCGATAACTGAGATTGACACACAGATATGATCGATAATTGAGATTGACACACTTCCATATCTCGTAATTGATCGGATCATATTGACGAAAGGATTATAGTTTCACAGTAAACGAACGAGTTTGGTTTTATCATACCACATGACATTTCTCGTCACATGTATTGCTCTTATACATTGCTAGATGTCAATCTGGGACGACGAGTGTGAATTGACGATAAATTAAAAGGGTGTTTTAATTTATCAATTTTGATTAGATCAAAACAATATTTCACGTCGTTAGGCATCATGATCGGGAACCTGATGGGTCACACACAAAAGAGAATTGAAATATTGCAATTTGTCAATTAATTAATTTAACAATCGTTGGATAAATTAATTAATTGAGTTGGTTATTTATAGGCTTGAATTAATTAATTGGATTAATTAATTTACGGACTGGATTTAATTAAATGGATTAATTAAATATGGACCGGACCGGGCCAAACCCGTTTGGGCTTATATAAATACATGGCTAGGATTTTCAATCCATATGATTTTTCTCATAATCATTCTTGCTAGCACAAGAAGAGAAAACACTGATAGCTGCAATCTTATTCTTTGTGTGGATCACCGTTAGAGGTTGGATAATTGGACAGCTGTGGGTGACAAATCAAGATTGTTGGAACGAAAAGAAAAGCAAAAGATTTGCAGAATTCTTCAAAGGTACATCTTTATCACGATTTCTATCTAAACACAAAGAGATCCTCGATGGGAATCGAAATAATTTTAATTTTTCGCTGTGCACGTATAAGTAGATTCCCAAGAAATTGAGAAGTTGAATTTTGGAGCCAAAGGACCGTAAGTGTCAGTTGAGTATAGCGATTATAGAATAAAAACGCGATTTTTCCATTTTGTATCACAAGCAACATTCTAACAGTTATCCTACAAGTTTTAGAAAGTAATGTTAACATGTTGTGGAAATTATATACCAAGAACTTTGAATCGTGCAATTCTGGCTCAGTTTCACAATACACCAAATCAAACACAAACCAATCAAAAGCTCAACCCAAATTCAAACTTCCCAATGTGGTTGCCATCTTTTAAATTTTTCCCACAAAGGACAATATGGTGGATGTAACTAATTCCACAAAGTAAGAGATAAGGAAGGAAGGACTGGTTCAACACTCATCAAGAACGAAGAATGGCTGCCTTTCTTTTCTCACAATACAATTGCAACTCACATGGTTCATACAAAGGAGTTAACATATATATAGTTTAAGGTTTAAACACATGGGCCAAGAAACAACAAATTGGGCCAAGACTTAACAACACTTTATTATTTTCTTCATTTATTTGTCTTTGTTCTTGTCATCGAATTTTTAAGAAGGAAAGGGTTTCTTACAGATTAGCAAGGTGTGCCAACAAGAAAGGTAAAGTGGGCTAAGCATCTAAATCCAATTAATGAATGGATGTTAAGTGTATTTTATACATTTTTTGAGCCTTAAATTAGTAATAGTTCATAGTTTTTTTGATGAAATATAGCCTGATTTAGTGTATAATTTTGTTTCATAGATGAAACTCGATGAATGAAAATGAAATTGTAAAAAAAGAAGAGAACATTAGTGAGAAGGGAAAGATCCAAAGTTCGAAGACTAAATACTCAAAAATTCTGTTAGACCTCATGATGAAGATTCAAGAATACTAACGGTCAATTGAATGAAGAAAGAAGTCAAAGTGATGAAATATGATCAAATTATTTTCACAAATCAACTTTAAATTACACAAGTATGTTTTAGATTTTTAGCCAGAGATTGAGACACAATTTTGACATAGTAAATTTTCAATTGGAAAAAGGCTATCTCTAATAAAGGTGTAGCCATTTGAATTTTGTTCCAATGCACTTAGAATCGTCTTAATCCAATATCGGAAGATAACGTTATAATAAAAATACCGAATGATGTGCAAAGTTGGAGCAATAGAGGTGGCGCCGAGGGCCCACTCTCGGAAAAAATAATAGATCCGTAGCGCATGCACCGCCAAATAGGGCTTCCAAGTGCAACTCACCTTTTAAAGGTCTAATTCAACTAAAACTCTTCCAAGACTTAAAAGAAGACATAAATATAACTCTAAAGAACACTTTTTCGGAGAATTGGATGAGGCAAGAGGCAAGAGATCAATCAAGAGGGTTATACGCTTTGAGAATTAAAGAGAGAAAATGAGGAAGAAAACAAGAAATCAAGAATTAGCGTTTGGAATCAAAATTTTGGGAAAGAAGAGGAACTTGGCTCTAGATTCATCCATCTCTCCACGCCTCATTTTAAAACTCAATGATATATTCCAATATTATTATTTGTTTTTCTTCCTACATTATGAATAGCTAAATTTTTTTGATAGGGCAAACAATGAAATTTATTAAGATCCTTTAATTCAAGTTTCTAGATCTTTAAAAGTTTATGTGCTGATTTTATTCATGGAGTTTATTGCTTGAATTCTTTAGCCAATTATTCATTGATCTTGTGAATTTATTATGAGTCGAGAGGTGAGTTTCAAATTTAGATCACATAATAAAATCCGAAAACTTGTATAAAAGTGTAGAGACGGATTTTCTAATTAATGCGGTTGTTACATGAATTCTTAGAAATTAAATGTGTATAACTAAGGTATATCCTGATTAACATAGAAATATGGAATTGACTTAGTTAAATATGATCAATTTTAACTCGAAAGAGATTAGTTCAATATGTATAGAAGAATTCGACTGATCATTGCACTATGTAATGAATCTTGAGTAAAGAATTACATGTAATCAATAAAAGAAATTGTGAAAGCCTAATATCGCCTTCATATTTCAAAACCTAATTTGATTTTTGTGTGCATTAAGATACATTCAAATAGTAGTGTAATTTAGATCAACAATCACAAAATCATAAATTATTTTTGTCAAGCAGAAGCTATCAATAATAGACTAGGAATAAATAATAGTCCTAGTAGGAACGGTTATTCAAATTCAAAGGTGCATTATATTACTTGTTCAATACCGTACACTTACGATATAAAAAATGCAACAAGTTTTTGGAGCCGTTGTCAGAGACTATTTACATTTAATCTAAATTTATTTTGTTTTAACTTTTATTTGATAAGATAAAAATGTATTCACCGTATGTTCCGTTCTCAAGGTGATGATCTTGAACCATTTGATCTGGAAATATATGTACCTTTGACGAAAACTCAAAGAACACAAATAAAAAAAAGAAACATCATATGGCAGAATAGCAAAATATTTTGAGACTACCAATTGGACAAGGATTTGCTAAAGTAGGGGCACCTCAAAATCAGTGGCACGAACAAGTTGAGATCAGTGAAGGATTAGTGTAGAGATGTGCTGCAGCTGTTGATGGCAGTTGGGCAACTGAGATTAGTGCCTATAGGAGGCAGGAATTAGATGATATAGCTTGAAGCTCAATTTTCCTTCACTTATATGACAATGTGATAAGAA